TAAAACTTGTTTCAAGATTTCTACCAATTATATTTATAACCCCCTTAGTTAAAAATAGCCATTTCTAGCCATTGGGGGTTCATTTAATATTTTGCATATCAATTTAAGTGTGAGAAAAAATGCTGCAAACTTCTCTAGTAGAGTTGGCTATCATAGTGAGAACATGTTATGTTACTCCATCTGCACTTTTCATTTTTTTGTTGAGCTAGATGCAAAACACAAAGCCACCTTAGCAAACCTAAGTTCAAAAGATTCAAAAATCTTTGAAATTTTTGACTATTGAACATTAAATGTGTCATGATAGCCAACTGTAAAGTCATAGCTAACTTTACGTTCATTTTCCACGTCTACCAAACTGTAGGTTTGAACTTTTCACCCGCAACACTGGCGTTAACTTTCATAGCTGGCTTTCTGCATTTTTCTTCACTAGAGCTAGCTACAAAAAATAATAGCCAGCTCTTTGCACCAATTTCAACATTTTCATTCTCTTTTAGTGCACTCTAAGTTTATTTACTCTTACCAACTGTCAAATCATAAACTACATACGTAGATAAACAAATTAGTAATTCAAGTATATTTTATAAACATCAAAATCACAAGTACAACAAATTTAACGTCTATTTATGCCTTATTTGCAAGGACAATATCAATACTTACCATGGGCAAAATACCCCAATCAACCCCCAAAGTATAGTGATAGGGACGAATCTACCTCCGAACAAAAAATGGGGACAAATCGACCCACAAAGTTTTTGAGTCAAACAAATCACCCAAAATTGAACGTGTAACATCAGCTGATGTCAACAATCCATTAATTTGTTATGTCGCTAATAATTTCATTGTTAACGGATTGCTGATGTCAGATGATGTCATACATTAAATTTAGAGTGATTTGTCCAAATTGAAAACTTTGTAGGTAGATTTGTTCCTTTTTTTGTTCAGGGGTGGATCCATCCCTACCACTATACTTTAGGGGTAGATTTGAGTATTCTGCCCTTACCATGTAGGTAATGACATGCCAATATTTTATTCACAGAAACAACACACAAGCAAGCATTAAATCCGTCATAAAAAAAGAGTTAACTCGCCTAAATCACAAAATTTAGGTGTTTATTTGATTCAATAAAAGTTTAAAAACTTAATTAAAGATTTAGAATAAGTTTAGCGACTTTAAGTATGGTTTTGTCACTTAGAGAGAAAAGACCTTGCTAATTGACATAAATGGCTAATTAAAATATTAATTTTTTCAATTTAATAATTAAAAGCTTGCTCTTAATTAAGTATATCAATTCTTGATTTTTCATGTCCCCTAATAGATTTCAATATTTAATAATGTGAAAATTATTTATTTAAAAAAACTTTATTAATTGCACTAGGCTTCATGGGTCACTTGGTAGAAGCACCCAATGCTTTGACAATGATTAAAGTTCAAACTATGGTGCTACCATACTACAATTTCCCATCTTCTACCTCAAATTGTACTTTAAAAAAAATATTAATTATAGCATACTTAGTGTAAGATTATTAAAAATTAAATTTCTAAAACACACCCTCTCTATTTCTCTTACGTCCATTTTTGTTTTCCTCTCATCATAGTCATTGATAGTATGCTTTGAAGAATTTGTCAAAAAAATGTAAAAAAATTCAAAGGGTGCATAGATAACAATCGCTAAACAATTAAATTACACTAACACAACTAATCTTAAGAAGATGGACACAATCTTAGACTTAAAAAAATTTATGTTTTGTATGTTGTTTGAGAAATAATGTTCTCTATGCAAATTGTTAGGCATAAATTAAAAAATAATTAAAAATAATAAACCCATACTTTAAATGATTGTATCTTAAAAATGAGTTTATAAATCTCTTTCAATTCATTCAAAATATTTCACTGTTTAACATGTGACTATTGAAAAACTCATGGGTTATTTTTTAACATAAACGTTGAAGAACTCATCAGTTCTTAAGAGAATCAATAACAATAATAAAAAGACCATAAGCAAGACAACTATAAAAAATGAGGCTACTACAGTAAATTGACAATTTTGTCCAATTATTATTA